ACAGACAGACCTCTGACTCCAGGGAGCAGGTACGGACAGCCTCGGAAACCCACAGCGCAGTGCTACCCTGTCCTGGAGGGTCTCCATGAGTCAGCATTGACTCCATCGATGGCAGCCAATTTGGTGTTTTGGAGTGCAGTCCCCAGGGAGTGGAGAGGGCACAAGAAGGTCAAGGTAACCCGCGGGAGGGGGGCGGGGGCTCCTCTTTTGAAGATGTTGAAGTTCAGGGAAAGCGAGGCATCGGCTTAGAGGAGGAGGAGGGGAAATGCTCCCCAAGATGCCTCCTGGAAGTCCTTATATTTAGAAACTACATTTAGGAATGTTTTCTCCTAAGATAATCTTCTCTGTGCTCCAACCCAACCGGAGCTCCCTGTGTGAGCGTGGAGCAGCTGCTCTTACTGGCTGCTGGTCTTAAGGGGAGCAGCGGGCAGGCACCTCTCCCAGCCCGGGTTCTGCTCGCCCCACTGCAGCTGCTGGTAGCTGGTGCCACCCCTGCAGTCGAATGGGAAATGGCCCAGGGTTTCAGAACCCTGGATGAGGGTTTACAAACTCCTCCAATCACAGAACTCAGCCGGGGTTGTCAATCCCTGCTCACGCCGAACGCCGTGCTCCGTAGTTGGGTTGTCGGTGGTGGTCAGAGTCGGTTCTGACTTACAATGTGGGCCTTAGGCACCCCAGAACAAAACACCGCGCCTCCTAGGAGCTGACAGCACGGAGTAGACAGAAGACATCTGGAATTTACTATACCGATGGCAGCTCAGCTTGTGGACAGGACTGAGCTACTACTGAAATACAGGCTAGGGGGATTCAAAGTCGAGGGCCTTGGTAAACGAATTCTTAGATGAAAAAACAACACACAAGAAAACATTGCCTCCTGGTCTGCGTCCTCCTCACAGGGACCTTTGAGCCCACGGTGGCAGCCACTGTGCCAATCCATCTCTTCAGGACCTTTCTCTTTTGTTTGCAGACCCCCCCACCCCCAGCAAGCGTGATGTCCTCTACCAGGAACTGGTCCCTCCTGAGAACGCGTCTAACGAATAGCTACCACTTACGAAATTAATCCAGGCCTGGTATGGTGTTAAGGACAGGCCTTCAATCAATTTCTGTATCCCTCACCAAACGGAACCCCCAGCCGCCGCCGCCGAGATCCTAGAGCCCACTGACCGTTGAGCACAACGTCATACGTTTGCCTTCGCTTTACAATGATTCAGTCAGTCTCCCCCAAAGCAAACCTCCTGCCCTGGGGTTAAATGAGATGCTGGGGGCCCCGTGGGACAGAGGGGAACGGCCCCTCAGGGTTTCCAAGGTGGTCAAGCTTTACCTAAGCAGACCGCGCCGGCTTTCTCCCATAAGGTGGTTGGTGGATTCCGAGGGCCCATCTTTTGGTTAGCAGGCCAACGGTTAACCCTCCGTGCCACCAGGGCTCCTTCATCCTCCACAGCCCTAGAAATCCAGGAACTTGCCTAAGAACGCAGGACGCGAGGAGGGAACTTCCTGACTTCCACCCAGGATACTGTGCTATCACTCCACCTACACAAGAAACCAAGGGGCAGCTTAGTTTTCCAAGCAGCAGGACCAAGACTAAAATCTACAAGGGCTTACAACCTGGTAGAGATGGGGTTGCCCTGGGTGACAGTGCCAAAAGGAGAGAGAGGGTGCTTTCTGCCACCTGGGCAGTGCCCAGATCCTGTTCCCTGCAACACAGGAGGAGTAGCACCCAGTGTGGAGGTCCAAACACCCAGAACGACCTTGCGGCTCTCACGTCACGGTAGCCGTCCTCCTTGCTGATGGCTCGAGAGAGCTGCCCTGCCCAAGCAGACAGACCCTGCTGTGCTCAGAGGCCTGCATCAAGGGTGGACACAGGCAGGAGTCCCCCAGAGAGCTACCCACGTGACAGCCAGCCATTCTCTTCATGAGCCAGGGGGACACATTCAGGCAGGAAGCAGAGGCCAAGTGCCCTCACCAACCTCCTGCCCTGTGCTTGCACCCAAGGGCCTGCCCCGAGACCCCCCAGCACCTCGGGTTGCTGGGCCCAGCTGCGCTTCCATTACATCTTTGTAGGCATAAACACCCACACATATATGGGTGAGCTGACAATCTTGCTACAAGACCATAGAGACCTTTAGTAAACAAAACCATAAAGTGTTGGGGTGTGTGTGTCAAGGGGAACTGATGTCAAGGAGTTCAAGAAGGAAGAGAATGTTTGGAAACTGATTGTGGTAGCAATCATACAATACTGCTTGATGTGACTGAACTATGGAATGGTAAGCTTTCTGTATTAGCTCCCAATAAAATAGTTTTTTTTTGGGGGAAAAAAAGCCCAAACCAAAAATCCACAGTATTGAAAAGCATGGATGTGGCTTTGAGGGCTAAGGTGTGCCTGACCCAAGGCGCGTGTCTCGATTGCCTCACAGGCATGTGGAAGCTGAATGTTGACTAAGGAAGACAGAATGGATGTATCTGACCTGTGTGGGTGAAGAGGATTCAAAGTCCGACAGTCTGCACACAGAGCAAGCAAACCTGTCTTGGAAGAAAGCCAGCCAGAGGGTCCTTAGAGGCCAGGGTAGCGAGGCTCTGTCTCACATACTTTGGACGTGTCCTCAAGGGAAACCAGCCCTTGGAGGAGGACATCATGCTTGGTCATGCGGGGTGGGGGCGGGGGCAGAGAAACGAGGAAGGCCCTTCCCAAGAAGCCACAGCAGGCTCCAGCAGGGGAATAACTGTGAGCATGGTGCCGGACCTGGGGGTGGTTTGTTCTGTTTACACGGGATGGCTAGGAGTCCAGACCACCCTGACAGCATGTTACAACGTGCGACTGCTGCTTCCAGACAGATCCCCCCTCTAGTCTAGAAGCTTCCGAAGGTCGTGTGCCACCTTCCTTTCTTTGCAATCATTTCATTGGGGGTTCTTGTGGCCACCTTTCTGTCTCTTCCCAGAATTCCATGCTCCCAAATTTATACGTGCAAACGAAGGCCGTTTTGGTGCCCCGGGAACTCACATGGTGTCTTTGGTAAATGTTGAGTGGAAGGAATAAAGTCTGGAGGAGCAAGACCTAGGGGTGCACGGGGTCGGGCTTCCCAGGGAAAGGTTCCCAGGGCCACAGAATGAACAGGTGCTTCGCTGTGATGGAACAAGTCCATCCGCGTGGCTTCCCCGGCCACTTCCCACCAAGGCCGTTTGCAATTTCCTGAGAACGTCTTCATAGTAAGCCCCTGCCATCATCCCGTGTCTTTTGAGGAAAAAAAAATCTATCAAGATGACCTCTTTGGAGCAATCTTTTAAAAAGTATTGCTGTGGGAGTTTGGGAGTTGACCTCTCTGCCTGGACTTTCACTGGCCCACCATATATCCGTGGAGGTCAGTTTGTCGTGGAGTTTGGGGTATTTTTTTTAAAGACACCCTAATAATACAGAAACAAGCGTGCTGACTGAGTGAGCTTTTCTGTAGCCTTTACTGATCGCCGAGACACGCTTAAACACGTTTTGCTTGGAATAGAGCCACGCATGTATGAACTAAAACTTTCACAGCAGTGCTTGGCTGACCCGTGTCCTTTCCTGTCCCAGCGGGAAAGAAGGCTTTCTTCACGAAACCCTAAAAAACCAACCATTCCCACTGCCATCCACGCAATCCTGATGCCCACAAGACAAAGTAGAACTAATTACCCCTTTGGGCTTCCAAAATCTCAGGTCTTTATGGAAGCAGGCAGCCTCATGGGGGTTTGAACCTCTGACATTGTCGTTCACAGCCCAATGCTTAACCCCCGACACCCTCACCAAGGCTTAGTAAACCAAAAACCAAACTCACTGCCATCGAGTCGTTTCCAACTCCTGGTGGCCCTGTAGGGTGGGGGTAGCATTGATGGGCCCTGGGTTTCTGAGATGGTAACTCTTTCCGGGAGTGTAAAGCCCCGTCTTTCTACAGTGGAACCTCCAATTGCCAACCTGGCATTCTGTAGCCCAAGGCCCAAGGACTAAGCCTCCCGAGGGCCTTAGGAGTCTGTAAGCCCTCTGGACTCAGGCCTACCTTCAAAACCACCCTACCCGTCTGCATGGCCCACAGGTGGCTCAGCCCTGATTGGAGTGGAATCACAACAATGAAGTCTCCTTTTAGGAGCTCAAGGGGACAGGTTGGGGTCCAGGTCCTCAGGGGAAGGCAGGCA